CCACTCACCTCAGCCTCCCAAAGCGTGGGATTACAGGCTGAGCCACCGAACCCGGCTATTACCTCAGTCTTAAGGTATGAGCAGTTCACAGGGGAATGGTGTGGCAAGAGCTGAGCATTTGGTGAAGCATCCTGACAGTTGCACAGTGGATGAACAGGAGTATAGATGTCCAGAGAGGAAACTGTGCTGTTCTCTCAATGAGCAGTGGCTGGGTTCAAGCTGGGCAAGAGGGCATAGGGCAGGCAGAAGCTGTAGGTTGGACGTGGGGGATAAGAAAGAAGGTGGGAGTCACATATGACCCCTGGGCCTCTGGCTATGATGAGGTCAGACTCGGAGGAGGTGAGCCTGGTGTTTCTAGGTGGAGACATGGATTCCCGGTATAGAGCAGCTCCAGGTTGCCTTGTGGCTTTGAATCCTTCGGGACTGAGAGGCTTCCTGGGATATGGGATTTTTAGTTTTAAAACTGAAGTAGTACTGGGAAACCCGGGACAGTAGGTCACCCTAACAGAGGCTCTCATCCTTCCTCTTCCACTTCCCTCCTGTTGGTGTCTAGGACTCCCCTATCAACAAACTCCTGTATGCTCGGGATATTCCCCGTTATAAGCGGATGGTAGAAAGGTACTGGAGAGGCATGGGTCGGTGGAGATCAGTGGGTGCGTGCAACTGAGGCCCGGGGTGAGCCCTGGTGGTGGTCAGGGGAGTGGGTTTGTTTACCCAGTGGCTGCCGTACCCTGGCTCCTTGGCAGGTACTATGCAGATATCAGACAGACCGTCTCGGCAAGTGACCAAGAGATGAACTCTGTCCTGGCTGAGCTATCTCGGGTAAGGCTTCCCTCTGCTTCTTGGGTTGGGCACAGGCTTTCTGCCATGATGGTCCTGCCTGCTTCACACTGTCCCTTTGCAGGGAAGTCATCGAGACCTCAGCAGCCCTGTGAACTGGTTGGGGCAGGACACATACCATCATCATAAGTATAGAATGTTCCAGATGCCACTGTAAAAGATCAGGGCTTCCCCATCTCATCACAGAACAAGCAGGGGGGTCCTGTCCTGGCAGCTGCCACCTAACACTCAGGCAGGTGCTTGAGACCTGCAACCCTTGTTGGGGTCTGTGGACTGTAGTTCCAAGGCAGCGAGGTGGCTGGGATTTGGCTCCAGGCCAGTTCATGTCTTCCCACTGCTCTGCCTTCCTTGTTGCTGTAGACGTGTACCCTCAACTCCTAAAACAGCTCCAAAATGGAACTCTAGGGGGTTTATAAACATTGTTTCTGAAATGATGATGGTGATAATGATGACAACCATGATACTAATAGCAGCTACAATTTGGAGGAAATACTTGAATTAGACCAGAGCACAATTATGCTGGGCTCACAACCTGCAAGTGGCTTCTGTTTCACTTGGTCTCCAATCACTTGAGATGACAGAGGGTCTGGGCTAGAGGCTTGAGGGGTGAGAGAGGCAGGGCCCCAGTGGGAAGCCAGGTCTTGCCAAAACATCTGGGTTCTCTTCCTACCAAGGAGGCTCTCTGACCCTGTTCTGTCCTTAGTGAGGCACGCGTAGTGTGGGGCCCCTGGCCTGTGGAGGGGTTCTGCTTCCCACTGCAGGGCCTGTCCTTCCTCCACCTCTCAGGTCTTTTCCTCCCTTACCCTTCCCTGGCGTCTGGGGCCTCCTCCTGCTGCTGGCTGCACCCCTCATCTCTCTTACCTCTTGTTTGGCCTCTTCTCTAGAACTACTCTGGAGACCTTGGGGCACGAGTGGCTCTTCACGAACTCTACAAGTATATCAACAAGTACTATGACCAGGTGGGCAGGTCCTGGGTCCAGACTGGGAGACTGACCTTGAGGCTCCCCTAGGATGCTGAGGGGATGGATATGAGAGGGGATCTGGTCCAGTGACTTGGTGTGGGGTCCTTTGGGTCTCCTCCAGGCACAGCGTAGGGGCACCCTTGGTGGCATGTCCTTAGGCATGCTTCCTGGTATTGGCTGTGTTCTCACCTGCCCCCACAACTCCCCATCCCAGCTCTTTAGCAGGCTGCCAAGCATAGTGCTGTGGGGGAGGGGAGAGGCGAGGGAGGAAGTCTACCAGGGCCCGGGGATGGTGTGTGAGTTGTGCTAGGAGGGACACACAGCTGCCCCCTGCCCCAACCGTGCCCTCACTCTCCCCACCCAAGTCTGGGGTTGGCAGCACGTTGCGTATGGCCACCTCTGCAGGTGCAGACCTGGCTGGGCTGCATGAGCCACCAGCATATTGCACAGGCACAGAAACAGGTGGGTGAGGACACAACAGAGCTGGTAAAGGGTCTTTATGGGGTATCCCTGGACTAGGTCTGAAGATCTAAGCACCCTCCAGTCTGCTGAGTGCCTGATGGAATCATCCACTCACAAGTTTTTGTAGTACCGGTGTCATGGCCATTGCTGTTCAGAGACAAGGAGCTTGCCTCATGGCCCACAGCCTTTCTTGGCATGGTCTGGGCCACGGCATAGGTACGGCAGGGGTGTAACACAGGCACATCGGCCCCTTGTGGAGATGTGGGCGATAGCTGTTCTTCCCCAGTGCGGCTGCCCTCCAAGTTCCTGCCTGTTCCTTTTGTGGCAGGCCCCCATTTTTAGTTATTTAGTTCGTGTTTGATTGGTATCTGTCTGGTCATTATTGGGTTCTGTTCCTTGACTGGCTCCTGGCATGTAGGAAAACAGGAAAAGCAGTTGCATGGGTAGGCAAGCCGGGAAGGTCTGCAGCAGGGCTTCTGAGGGGCTCGGCACTGAGTGAGGTGCTTCATTTCCTACCTCACTAATCCTTAAAACCCCACGGTGGCTTTGCTGGTGTGATCCCTTCTACCGGCAAGATTCTGATGTCACAGGAAGTAAATAAGGTGATGTACTAGGTTCTTGGGCTTCTACCCCTGGTTGTGCTAAGCCTCCTAGGTGGCCTGTTAAGTCTGGCACTGGCCTTTGTGTTTCAGATCATTACTGCCCTGGAGGAGGATGGCATGGCCCAGAAGATGCAGCTGGGCTATCGGCTCCAACAGATTGCAGCTGCTGTAGAAAACAAGGTCACGGATCTGTAGGGACCTGGAAGCTCTTGCCTGCTGTTGCCTCAGCCCTGCCTAGGCAGCCCTGGGACCTCAAGGGAGAGACCACCTTCTTAGACACCTGTAGTGACTGACAAACAGAGTTAGTAGAAGGTGGCTTCCAGGCTCCTGGTGGCTCTGGCCTCGGCCCTGCTGGACCCACCACACAGGCCTGGGGCCTTGAGGCTCATGAGGGTAGTGCCCAGCCTGCTCTCTGAGCCCAGTGACCTGTGGGCTACTAGTCTGCAGGGAGTTGGGGACTAAGGGCTTCCAGAGAGTGACCGGAAGGACCTCCAGGCCCCTGGGGAGACCATACTGTTCCTGAACACTGGCCTTTGCCCTACTGGGATTTGGAGAGGAAGGAGGAGAGCCCCACGCTTCCTGTCCTCCTCCCCATCCCACCGTCCCTGACCTCAGTTTAGCTGCCTCTGGCCTTGTTGCTGCTGTCACATCCTAGGTCCATGAGATGAACGCCTCTCCTGTGCCACGGCAGACTGACCTCTCAGCGGGGCTGGCTGCCTCAGGGCCACTCTGCTTCCCAGGCAGCCATGGTGAGGGGCATCTGTTGCAGGGGGCCTTGGGGAGAGTGTGGCTCCACTGACCTAGCTCTTTATTAAATGGTAACACACTGTGTGGAGTCTGATGTGTGGCCCTGGCCCAGCCCCTCCCGTAGTATGAAGTGGCAGCTGTGCGTGGCAGGCCCCAGGGCAGGTGGTATCTGCACCCTGGGGGGGTCTCATGGTCTCCAAGTAATGCCCAGATTGCAGGGCTGGCTATGCTTTCCTTGGCTCCTGAGCGGGGCCTGCTGAGGTCAAAGCTTCTGTGAAGGAATAAGAGCCCCGTTCAGGACAGAGTTGGGGGAGGGCTGTGGAGGGGTCCACAGTCTCTTCAGGGGGGCCTGCCTTGTCTGCAGTTTGAGTATTCTCACCTCTCCATTCATGTTCCCTTTATCAGCAAAGGAACTAGGGAAGGATGGCATCATTACAGACTACTCTAGGCAGAGTGGGTCTTGAGGACCCTTTGCCGTGGTCCTGGTTTCTGTGTTGCCTTCTCAGTCATGGCATCTTAGAGAGCTCCTAAACCGTCTACCTGCATTTAGGCCACTTATATGGTGTTTCCTGATCTGTAGTTGTGGGTGAACTTGGAGATCACCTTTTCTGAGTCTCCTGTTGCTGGCTAGGTCGTAGGGCAAGGGGTTGACACCTACCCCTTCACTGAGACCACCTTCAGCCTCAGTCCTCCACAGAACAGAGGCGAGGTGAAGACCTTTCAGACCTGAGGTCAGAAAGGTCACCTCCTTGACTCTCTGCTTACCCCCATAGTCCAAGGAACCCCTAGATCCCTTTCCCCTCTAGCATAAAGGCCCCATCCTCCCTTTAAGGGGGGCTTTGCTGAGGCTTTGAAGAGACAGAGACGGATGTAATTCTAGGAGTTGTCTTCCCTGCCGCTTTCTGGCTCTAAGTAAAGCTATCTGCAAAGTCCTTGTCCCTGAGACAGCAGGAGCCACATTGATCTTGTCCATGCCAGGGATAGTCACAGCTGCCATTCTTTGCAGCAGCTCTAATGTCCCTTCCCCATTTCTGCCTGGTGGGGGGCCCACAGTCAGAGATAGGACAGCAGTCATGTGCCATCCTTTGGGAGCATGTGAACTTTAGTCCCTTCAGATGGGTTTTCATAGCCTGGTTCTGACTCTCTCCCACTGGCTTCTCTGGCCAAACCACGAAATTGGTCCCCATATTGACAATCCCAGGGATCAGGGCCAGTGGGGTGGGGATTGGGGTAGACTTTGAGCAGGCATAGAGGGAAGCAACCTTGGTCAGCTCTACAGACCTCAACAGAGCCGTGCCTCTGTTCCAGGCTCAGGTCTCTGCAGGTTTTAGGAAGCCTGTAATGGGGCAGGCAAAGGCTCCCAGGAGAGGAAGGCCATGTACCTGCATGCCTAGATGTGCGCACATGGGTGGGGTGAGTATGGAGCAATGCTCTGAGTCATTCACTTTGATGTCTCAGCCCTCTGTTACAATAAAGTGTACAAAGAAGAAGAACCTAGCAGGATAAGATAGAAAACTTTTTTTTTTTTTTTTTTGAGTGGGCGTCT